TTTTATTATGCTGCTGCTGGCCCTTTAAGAACCATCTGGGGACATACTGTGACTTTTGGGAACAATGCCCCTTTAAGACTATGGCCCTTGGAAGATATTGCCTGTTAAAGACTATTTTAGCAGATTGGATTTTAAAAGACTTGCTGCCCCTTTAAATTGTATTGGAGCAGTTCTGCAGCTTTAAATTGGCACTTCAGATGCAGCCAAAGTGCCGAAGTAGTCGAAGTGGCTGCCATTCGACAATCAAACACGTGGCCATCTTTGTTCATTCGAACGAGGTCAGCGGTATGTGTAGCCAAATCCATGGAATTGAAATCAGCCACACATTTCAACGAACACCGCTGAACCTTACCTTCTCCTACACTCAGTTTTCAGCTGCAGAGACTAAGTCCCGTTCGGCAGTTTGAACTCACTGCTATACTAAGCTAAATGAACGAACGGTCATTTTTCTGTGTAAAATAGACCGACCTCACAGCCCAAATCTATGGAACTGTTTTTGGCAGGAAAATGTGCTTGCAGTCGGTCATAAAGGACTTCCAGCTAACGTTTTATCTACTGGATGGATTTGTCTGATTTTTGAGAGTGTTTATGTTTAAAGTGTGCTGATTCTGAATATGTATTTTTTATGAAGATTGGAAGTATATTTTTAAAGTTATAAAAACTATATTTTTCCTGCTTGTGATAATTATGTTAACCCATTGTGCACCATAATTATATCACAGGCAGAGGGGAGGATTTTGTGTATAATTGCTGGGAGTGTTTTCTGTAATGTACGTGTGTTATTGGTTGTTCTGTAAAACCCTGTGGGCAGTACTAAGTTTGTGGATTGGGAATAAAAGAGGCTGTATGTGCCAGTACAGTCAGTTCTGCTTGACCTCAAAACGAAGTGTCGTCTCGTTATTGGGGGAATTGGATTGTATGCTGATTGCCAGGAGTGTAAGCTGATTGTATGCTTTTCCTGTTCAGCTGCTTACAGCATTCATATGCTTGAGAGCATTCGTATGCTTCTCCGGTTCGGTGGTTGTGGTGTCGGCTAGAGTGCTTGGAGTCCTCAGGAAGTGCTAGGAGCATCCTTCAACGGAGGTACCCAGTCGGGGTGCCCGCCGATCCGTTACAATAATATACAGTCTGTATAACAGGTCTGATATCAGTGTTAGATAATATACAGTCTGTATAACTCTGTATAACACGATCTGATATCAGTGTTACATAATATACAGTCTGTATAACTCTGTATAACACGATCTGATATCAGTGTTACATAATATACAGTCTGTATAACTCTGTATAACACGGTCTAAAATCAGTGTTACATAATATACAGTCTGAATAACTCTGTATAACACGGTCTGATATCAGTATTACATAATATACAGTCTGTATAACTCTGTATAACACGGTCTGATATCAGTATTACATAATATACAGTCTGTATAACTCTGTATAACACGGTCTGATATCAGTGTTAGATAATATACAGTCTGTATAACACGGTCTGATATCAGTGATAGATAATATACAGTCTGTATAACTCGGTCTGATCTTAGTGATAGATAATATACAGTCTGTATAACGCGTTCTGATATCAGTGTTAGATAATATACAGTCTGTATAACGCGGTCTGAAATCAGTGTTAGATAATATACAGTCTGTATAACGCGTTCTGATATCAGTGTTAGATAATATACAGTCTGTATTATGCGGTCTGAAATCAGTGTTAGATAATATACAGTCTGCATAACGCGGTCTGATATCAGTGTTAGATAATATACAGTGTGTATAACGCGGTCTGATATCAGTGTTAGATAATATACAGTCTGTGTAACGCGGTCTGATATCAGTGATAGATAATATACAGTCTGTATAACGCGGTCTGATATCAGTGTTAGATAATATACAGTCTGTATAACGCGGTCTGATATCAGTGTTAGATAATATACAGTCTGTGTAACGCGGTCTGATATCAGTGATAGATAATATACAGTCTGTATAACGCGGTCTGATATCAGTGTTAGATAATATACAGGGTGTATAACATGGTCTGATATCAGTGTTAGATAATATACAGTCTGTATAACACGGTCTGATATTAGTGTTAGATAATATACAGTGTGTATAACATGGTCTGATATCAGTGTTAGATAATATACAGTTTGTATAACATGGTCTGATATCAGTGATAGATAATATACAGGGTGTATAACACGGTCTGATATCAGTGTTAGATAATATACAGGGTGTATAACATGGTCTGATATCAGTGATAGATAATATACAGGGTGTATAACATGGTCTGATATCAGTGTTAGATAATATACAGTCTGTATAACACGGTCTGATATCAGTGTTAGATAATATACAGTCTGTATAGCGCGGTCTGATATTAGTGTTAGATAATATACAGTGTGTATAACGCGGTCTGAAATCAGTGTTAGATAATATACAGTCTGTATAACGCGTTCTGATATCAGTGTTAGATAATATACAGTCTGTATTATGCGGTCTGAAATCAGTGTTAGATAATATACAGTCTGCATAACGCGGTCTGATATCAGTGTTAGATAATATACAGTGTGTATAACGCGGTCTGATATCAGTGTTAGATAATATACAGTCTGTGTAACGCGGTCTGATATCAGTGATAGATAATATACAGTCTGTATAACGCGGTCTGATATCAGTGTTAGATAATATACAGGGTGTATAACATGGTCTGATATCAGTGTTAGATAATATACAGTCTGTATAACACGGTCTGATATTAGTGTTAGATAATATACAGGGTGTATAACATGGTCTGATATCAGTGATAGATAATATACAGGGTGTATAACATGGTCTGATATCAGTGATAGATAATATACAATCTGTATAACGCGGTCTGATATCAGTGTTATATAATATACAGTCTGTATAACGCGGTCTGATATCAGTGTTAGATAATATACAGGGTGTATAACACGGTCTGATATCAGTGTTAGATAATATACAGGGTGTATAACACGGTCTGATATCAGTGTTAGATAATATACAGTCTGTATAACACGGTCTGATATCAGTGTTAGATAATATACAGTCTGTATAACACGGTCTGATATCAGTGTTAGATAATATACAGTGTGTATAACATGGTCTGATATCAGTGTTAGATAATATACAGGGTGTATAACACGGTCTGATATCAGTGTTAGATAATATACAGGGTGTATAACACGGTCTGATATCAGTGTTAGATAATATACAGTCTGTATAACACGGTCTGATATCAGTGTTAGATAATATACAGTCTGTATAACACGGTCTGATATCAGTGTTAGATAATATACAGTGTGTATAACATGGTCTGATATCAGTGTTAGATAATATACAGGGTGTATAACACGGTCTGATATCAGTGTTAGATAATATACAGGGTGTATAACACGGTCTGATATCAGTGATAGATAATATACAGTGTGTATAACATGGTCTGATATCAGTGTTAGATAATATACAATCTGTATAACGCGGTCTGATATCAGTGTTATATAATATACAGGGTGTTAGGTTGTTAGGCTCTGTATAACCTCAGCTTGTCACTCAGTAGGTCATACATTAGTAACAAGGCTATAATGTTGGTTATGTCACAGCCATTTTAATCCTTGAATTAACATAAACCCTCTGTAATGAGATTAGTTATTTGCTGACAGAGCTGCTGTGGGTTATGAAACATATCCTGAGTTCATTGAAAGCTGTTTAATTGGCTTCCTCGTGGCATATGGTTAAGTTACATTCCATGTTTGTATCCCCTTAGGATAACACTAATGGCTAAGGTTAAAGGACCACTCTAGGCACCCAGACCACTTCAGCTTAATGAAGTGGTCTGGGTGCCAGGTCCAGCTAGGGTTAACCCTTTTTTTATTTTATAAACATGTTTATAAATAGGTTAATCCAGCCTCTAGTGGCTGTCTCTTGACAGCCGCTAGAGGCACTTGCGTGCTTCCCACTGTGAAAATCACAGTGAGAAGACGCCAGCGTCTATAGGAAAGCATTGTCAATGCTTTCCTATGAGACTGGCTGAATGCGCGCGCAGCTCCCCAAAAGAGGAGGAATGCGCATTCAGCCAAAGAGGAGGAGAGGAGGCGGAGAGGAGGAGGAAAGCTCCCCGCCCGGCGCTGGAGAAAGGTAAGATTTTAACCCCTTCCTCTCCCCAGAGCCCGGCAAGTATGTTTTCCTGGCACTATAGTGGTCCTTTAACTATAGCACCCAATTATTTTAACTTTTCATCTCCTTTGATTCCCACAAAACAAAAGAAAGAATTTCATTACCATTTAGGTCAACGTCCCGTCATAATGAATGTGTTAAATGAAGCACCTATACAGTAATCTGTAAGGTATTGGGAGAGACAAGAATTCTAATCGAGTTATTGATTTATATCCAATATTCACCTATCCCTAGTTATCGATTTATATCTTATATTCAGCTATCCATAGTTATTGATTCATATATTATATTCTTTATTTTAGTAATTTATATCCAATGCTCAGCTATCCCTAGTTATTAATTTATATCTTATATTCAGCTATCCATAGTTATTGATTTATATCCAATATTCATCTATCCCTAGTTATTGATTTCTAGATTATATTCTTTGTTATTGATTTATATCCAATTCTCAGCTATCCCTAGTTATTTATTTATCTATTTAAATTGGTTATTTTAGTTATTGATTTATATCCAATGCTCCGCTATCCCTAGTTATTGATTTATCTATCTATATTGGTTATTTTAGTTATTGATTTATATCCAATGCTCCGCTATCCCTAGTTATTGATTTATCTATTTATATTGGTTATTTTAGTTATTGATTTATATCCAATGCTTCGCTATTCCTAGTTATTAAAAAATTTTAATTCTATGTTGAGCTGTTCTGAGCTGTTATGTTTATTTATATTTCGGTATTTATATTACCTGTAACCCAGATAACAAGATATGGTCAATTCTTCACAAACACACAAGCATTCAATTAGAAACAGTTTATTTAGTCATAAAAGCAACATAAAAATATAAAGCTTATATCATTTCACATATACAGATTCACAGAGTTCATACATTAAATAATCTATTGAGAGCATATGGCCTTTTTTTAAAAATCACATCCACAGTCACATATTTATTGAAAGACTAATACTGTTGGATGGGAAGAGTATTCAAGGGTCAGTAAGTGATAGAAAAATATACATATTTATTACAAAACACCTCTGTAAACATCCTGGCATAGGGAAGGCATCAGGCAGACTCTGCCAACCCAGAAAATAAAACCACAAGTCCTATGTGCTAGATGTCCATCTCTCAATGTCACCTGGAGGAGGTGAAGTTTCCAGAACTACTCCACAGAACCCCCTGTTCTACTCAGGCATTGGGGGGTTGTTTGAGGTCTTATCTCTCAGATTGTGGGTTACAGAGATGTGTCAGAGTCACTGGAGTCCAGACTGAGTTTGTGGCTGTTCAGCTTGTCCTTCTTGAGGTGAAGATGGAGAGAACCTCTCCTCAAGGAATCCAACGATTTTAAGAATGATCTCCTAGCCTTCTCCTCCTCGTTGGGGGATGCTCCTTCCTCCTCTACCTCTCTTATCTCCTCGAAGGACAGAGGCTGGATTTTTAGCCTGTTGAGTTTATTTCTCCTGAGAGGTCCACTGGATGGAGAAGGCTGAGGCAAGTCTGCATAGAGAAAAGGACCCTGGCGTATGGCTTCCTGATAGCTGCACAGCTGGTCCTCACCCTGGTTGGCTGCCATGGTAACAGAAGATGAAGGAAGAATAACTTGTAGCAAGTGATGAGAACTCCCAGACACAGGAGCAGAGTCAGCAGAGGATGCTGAAGACTTGAAGGGTTCAAGCTTTGATTTGTAGTGGAAGCTGGTCTCTCAAGTGCTTTTCTCCTGGAGCTAGCTGCCTCCCTGCTTTATACCCCATTCTCCACCCACTCACCACCCCCTCATTGACAGTCCTCTCCTTGTAAAGTCTGAATCCGGTGACGTTGTCTGGTGACACAGATATGAGGAGTTGGGTTGGAGAGGGGATCCTGCCTGGGAAATGGATGGATGAGGGGAGGGATATCTCAGCATGGGGTAGGTGAATGCTAAATTAAGATCCCATGTGTCTGATTAACAGCTCTTCCTGAAATCTCTGCAGAGATGGATCAAGTGTTGCTACATGTATCAGGTCTGTGGGTTCTATTTGCCCCCTGCTGCTTGCTGGACTGATGATATGTCTTATCCCTTAATTAATGTTGCTATTTACACAACCAAGGTGAGCAGTATCGATACAAATAGCATCCGATCATTGCTGATTGACAATGTGGTAATTACAATCGGTTTCCTCTTTAGATCTAATTTGCCAATATTTTTGACTTAAATTAACAATATGGGGTTTGTTAGTATCACATGACTTTTCCTATAAATCTTTATATTCTAAATATCCTGGTTTTCGAGATGTTAATCATTGGAGAGTGGGTATGATAAAGGGAGTAAACTGTAAGACAGGGGAAATGCACTGAATCCAATGGATTATTATTAATAGTGGGATTTATATAGTGCTTTACAATATTATAAAGGGGGGAATTTAACAATAAATGAGACAATTACAAAATGTTAAAGGGACAATAGATTGATGAGGACCCTGAGTGTATAATCTAGAGGATTATATTATTCTTAACTACTGAACTTCAGGGCATAGATCCCTCATGCTGGGAGGAGTGACTCATATAATGAGAGCTAGCTGGATGTATGCTTGACACAGAACCGTTCATCAGCAATATATATTTTATATGGTAAATATTTAAAGAATAAAAACTGTATATGGCAAAAGAATCAAATTTATTGAAGAAAAATTGTTTCCCCTACCCCAGTAAATACTATTAAAGAGTTGAATGCAAGGAGCGAGGAATGTAGCAATGGTAAATTTAATTTAAAAAAAAGAATTGTTTGGAATTAAAGTAAATTCAAACTGAATATGTAATTTTAGGTTAAAACAGTTGAACTGAAAATATAGCTCTCTCTGCTCTGTTTACCTAAGCCTATATTTAACAAAAAAGTGTGTTTGAGATCTGAAATCTAAAACTTGCAGGGTTATTTACAAAGTGAGAATTCAAAGTGAATTTCTTCTAATTTAAGACCAGAGTAGCTAAATGAAAGGTATAGCTGACCTAATTTTTCCAGTTTGCCTTTTTTGGCCTTAAATGTGAAATTCTGTATGAATTTTCCCATTGGTAAAATATCATTATTTTATTATTTATATAGCGCCAGCAAATTCTGTAGCGCTGGACAATAAATAACCTGGACACATGGGAATCCACACTGCTGTATGCATGTCCTAGAATTAAATGCCTTCATCTTGATTCATTTTTAATCAGCATAGGTATAAGAGGAGAAATTGGTGGTGGAGATTGATCAAAGAGTCACTGAAACTTTTACAAGTTATTGTCACAAAAATAAAAATATAGAGGAGTAGAATTTATTTTTGTAATTCATCCTACGTGGCGTAAAATTTCCAATTATCTTCATAGTAGATCTTGCCAGCTGAGCAGAACCTTAAGGGGAAAATGACCATTAAATAAGTAATGCTGATTATCCAGATATAAGATACTAAATGACAGTTTTATTTTCAAAATATTCCACATCATTCATTTTTGATCCTTTCTTTTTTAGAGTAAGGGGTTGTAGTTCAATTGTCAGATTTCGACTACAGTTGAACTACAACTCCCACTAATCATTACATTATCCACAGCAGTATTTTCAGAGCAAGAAAGAAAAATGCTGTAGGCCTTAACTACTAATTAATACTTTTTATAGAGGGCAGCTGTAGTGTAACAATTTTCACAGAACGTTTCATGTACGCCCATTTCCAGCAGTCTTTTTTGGGATGTGCATGATTGCTTGTTCTGTCCATTCTGTGGTTCCTGGTTTTGTAGTGACTGTTCTTTTTGCACAGGAAACATTAACTTACTGCAAGTGGTAACTCTCAATTCCTGGCCTTCTCTCCCAACCTGCTCAGAAGCAGCCTTGTAAACCTTAACAACGTTTCCTACCACTAATTTAATCAGTAGTTATTTAAAGAAAAGATATTAGTTTTCACAACAGGTCTCTTCCCATGCAACAAGTCAGTAACATTACGAGAATAGTCTCTACACGCCTTCCCAGTCACAGACCAGAACATGATTCATATCACTTAACACCTTTACAATAGAGGTTTTTAACCCTTTAAAGGGTACTAGGAGAACTATCACCACTACACCTTACTATAGTGGTTATAGTGCAGCGAGCCTTTGTGGACCATCCTCTCTGATTTGTAAAAGTACAAGGTGTGGTTTTATAAAAATTTTAAGATTTCCCAAGACTCAAATACAGCTCCTTAGCCGTAGACTAGATGAATTTCCATTTCACGTTCAATCTGCATTATTCATTCACATTATAGGTGTCAAGTCCAGTGATCCAAAATTGGAGAGCTATGGCGTTAACCTTTTTTATTCACTAAGCAAGTCTTCATGTATGCGTGATCTCCCACTTTTTTTTTTTTTTTTTATCAATATCCTCAGGATTAGCCCCAAGTTGAGCAATAAGGCTGTCAGACTATAATTGGAATTGCAGTTCTGCATTTTGGGAACTTCTGCCTTAAAGGGACACTCTAGCTTAATGATGCTGTTTTGCTGTATAGATCATGCCCCTGCATTCTCACTCCTCAATTCTTGGCCATTTAGGAGTTAAATCACTTTGTTTATACAACCCTAGACACCCCTCTCTGCATGTGACTTGCACAGCCTCCCTAAACACTTCCTGTAAAGTCAGCTAATGTTTATACTTCCTTTATTTTAAATTCTGTTTAACATAGAATTTCTCATCTCCTGCTCGGTTAATAGCTTGCTAGACCCTACAGGAGCCTCCTGTATGTAATTAAAAGTTCAATTTATAGATCAGGAGATAAAACCTTTTAAAGTTAGTTACATCAGATTGAAAATGAAACAATTTTGTTTTCATTCAGGTTGTGTCAATCACAGCCAGGGAAGGCCTAGCTAGGGCTGCATAAACAGAAACAAAAGTGATTTAACTTCTAAATTGAGCAGTAAAACTACAAAGGCATGATCTATACACCCAAACTGCTTCATTAAGCTAAAGTTGTTTTGGTGACTATAGTGTCCCTTTAAAGCCTAAACAGGTGTGCATGGTTGTAGTGAGTTGAAATCTGGAAAAGCATATTTAAAATTTGTACTAATTCTCCAGCTCATCGCAACTCACAGCTTAGTGAATAAACCCCAGAGAGTTAACGATAGCTCGAATGACTAAATGGCAAAACCAAAGTGACATCAGAAACATCTCAAAGGCTGCTGAATGTTCTGGATAATAACAGAATTTCTGTTACAGGCAATGATGACAGAGGATTCACTACCCCTCATTGTCACAGTTTCCAAGCCGCCCTGCAATCTTCCCACATATAGCGCTCAGTAATGTTCCACGCAGGTTGCTATGGAGATGTGTGTCATTATTAGCATCCTCTGTCTGATAATTTACATGCGTTCGGCGTTACATAAGGAAGAGCAGAGAGAGCCAACATAACACTTCCAAATTATTTCATTTAACGATGAGAGGAGTGTTTATGCAGCGGCCGGAAGAAAAATGCTTGTTATGTAACCATTGAGAAAAGAAAAATAAAGTTAAACTTTATCAAGCTTCCTGTACTTTAAAAAATTAAATAGAAATCTAAACACAAATATAAATACATGCGCACATGTATGTATATTGCATAAAAACAAGCATAATGAATTTTAGAAAGATTATTGCATTCCTGGGATTTTTATGAAAGAAAATGACAAAATAATGCAAAATTTCATTATGGACAACAAACTTTTCACAAATTACAGTGTTGTACCACATATCGTTGAATGATTCTCTAATATATGTAAATTCTATAATATTCAAGTGTGATCCTGTGAGTTCAATTACCTTTCTGTCTAAAATGTTGTGCATCGAAAGAGCTTGTTAATAGCCCTAGGGCACTGAAATATAATTTTTTTTGCCCTCTTTGCAAGAAGTAAATTGTTCTAGTGTTGGGCAGTTGCTCTTAATTTGTTCTCATCGACTATCATTTGTTTTTTATCAGACCATTTTACTGTATTATCATATCAACAATTTAAATTTATTCACGCTTGTTATCATACCTGTTGGTTCCATATTTCTATATCACTATTTTGGAAATCGACTGGCTTCACTGTTTTGAAATAGCATTGCTTATTAGACTGTATTCACACTTATCAATATGAAAAGTGAACTGAAAATAAAGATTTATTAAACATATTAATTAGAATTTCAGTTAATAAATAATAAAAAAAAAAGTGTTTGTCTTAGTCTGTAGTGAAGGAGCAAATTCTGCTATGAACCCGTTTAGTTTACATCCTATGTGGGCCATGAAGATTATATTGAAAGATATTTGGCAGTAGGCAGGTAGGGTATATCCCCCTTTTAATCTGTAATGGAAAGGATACCAATAGCCACGGTTTTTCTGTTATTAGCATTATTGTAAGAGTTTACCCTTATTATTCATCAATAAGAAACATTAAATGAATTTATCTTTTAGACAGTCATAAACCCATGTTCGAAACAAATAACTGTGCAGCTATAGTGCAAACAAATAGTTACTAAATCCTTGTGGCCTTTACCAGCAAAGATGCTTCATATTATATTCATGTAAACACATCTAGACATAAATTAGGTAAATCCAAAAAATCAAAATAGTACTTGCACTCAGTCAAAACAAAAGGTGGTTTTGTAAATTAGGTAAAGGGTACCCAGCGATTGCTTTCCCATTATAAACACCGCCATTAAGCTTGTCAGTGACTGGGTAAGGGGCGATCTTTGTACAGGGTTATTTGCTCATAATTAAAGGAATCCAGACATCAGCCGATAGCCTAGATGTATAGACTCTGTATTTCTTCGGCTGATCAACAGTGTACAGCTGTGGTTTCTGGAAGCATAGTTCTGAAAGTAAGGTTAATCCGTGGTCGTCGGTCGTGGTATTCTTTGGGCACTCGATGCTGCGGAGAAATGGAGAAGCACAAACCACATGTATTAATCTCAAACACACAGGTTTGGGGGAGCTCTTACGTCCCATTTTTGGGAACATGACAATTTCTTTCCTCAATCCTCATAAGCAGGTTGGACACGTTGCAAGGGGGAGGCCAGAGAAGAAAAAACATCATGTTTTTTTGCATTATTTAAAATAAATGATCACAAGCTTTATAGCCTCTGTGTATATTATTTTGCAATGTATTCCGAGTCCGCTTTGGTTGGAAGCACCACAATGAAATTATAAAGAACCCGTCACCAATCTGAATGGTCTAATCAATATACCCCACGCTTCTCCAGATCATCAGTTAAATTCACCACAGCTTTTCCAGCACCAACATATTAGCAGCACACTGAGTGGATGCTGCACACTGCATTGAATCAATATGGGCAGTGTTGCTGGTTTGTAGGTGCAGTTCTAGAGCAGACACAATGTTTCTATGGGGTAGTCCGGGAAAAGACGATCCATGCATTGGAAAGATTTTTGTATCAGACGCTCACCTGCCAATCTTCCTGAGTAGCTCCTTCCATTAGTAACAATGTTCCATGAGCCAAAGGTATGTGAACACGCTCCACATACGTGTAGTCCCCATTCTCCTCCTGTAAGGCAGTAAATGCATAATTTACCCATATATCAATCTGCTTCAAGGATACTGGAGTGAGGGAAAAGTAACTATCACTTTCAGAGAAGAGACAGTTTCTCTTTAAACCCTCTTACCGATACCCACTAAGCCAATAATCCACGTATGTTAACATACAGTCACTTAACTGGCAAGATAGTGAAGCACAGAACGCAAACATATAAATCTTCACCAAACAGTGCATTATGGTGATATGATAAAACACTGCAAAGATATGCTACAATAAACAATTTAAAAAAAAACAAAAAAAAAACTTGGTATGTATTTTACAATTTTTTGTCAATTTGCCATAACACTGTGTAGTAAATAAGCTCCAAGGGTTTTTAAATGTGCCCAATTCTATCCTAGAAAGTTCTACTTATGTCATTGACAATGCTCCCTGTTGACTGCTTGTTTATATTACGAAATACAATTCGTGGGAGGCTACGTTTTGACTTATGTGCCGACAGTGAGTGGGTAACAGATTTTTTTGCTTCTAGAAAGCGCTGTGAGTGTTGAACCCCTCCCGCAGAGTGACCCATTTACATGCAGACAGTGACATTAACTTGTGTAAGCAGGCGGAGGGGTCCCACTCAGTGTCACAGTGTGTGCGATTGACAAATAGATGGTTTGCTACATCAGTTATGTCATACACTATAGTTTACATAATAGCAGCTCTGCTCAGGTTAGAACAGGAAGAATGAAAAAAAGAAAGGCACATTATATAAAATTGCAGAACCTGTCAAGAGATGTCTTGTTTAGGCTGTGAGAAACTCCCATGATAAGGTATAAATATGCAGCTGTTCCGATGCTGTGGATTACTTCATTATAAGAACCACTGATTCTATTACTAAAGAGGTGGTGTGAAACAACACACTATTATATAAATCAATATAATATATTCACTGCAACACATCATTTTCTCATTACACTAAATACTCAATTGTTTATCTGTACGATAAGGCATGCAGTCATCCAGTCAGGAGGATGATAATATAGATTGTAAACTCATGTGATCAGGTCCCCCCAAATTTCTTGTCCCCACCTTCACTTGTATGCCACAATTTGCTTATTTTAGTTCTTTTATTTGAGAGCTGTGAAGTATGCTGGCACTCTACATACCTGTTCACCCTCTCATCGCTATTAAGTGGAAATTAAGTTTTGGCGAGTTTAAGGTTACCCATGGCTGCTTACACCATTTAAACGCAGATTGGGAGGCTAGATGACACAGGCATTTATTTGCTCCTGGAGGTTCCAGGACCAGAGCCCCTGCCTGTGAGATGACCACTGACAAAATAGTTAAGGTGCCAAATGTTTTTATTGCCTATATTAATATAGTGTCCCTAACCCAGAGATCACTTACAGGGGGTGGCTTTTTTCTCATCTGGAAGGTACGAGTGTCACCAAGGCTGAGAGAAGCAATAACTGGATTTCTGCCAAGTGCTGGCTCATCGTCACTGTGCCAGTCTATGCTGTCCTTGTCATGTCTGTAGAGGTTGCAGAGTAAGGAGTTGAAGCTGTACCCAGTCACTTCTTCAATGCGATCTTTTAGCATCGTCAGCAGAGGATGCCACTGTTGATACAACAAAACATCATTCTGCATTAATATCAAAATCAAAAAGAAGGCAAGACAACAAAAGCAATAGGTGAGAAATTGGCAAAAGGCTTACGTGAGGGTTTGGCTGCATTGTAGAGCGGGAGTAAGTATACGGTAGTTCACCATACCAACATGTAAGCCTGGGCTCCTGGTACTGTCCATCTGACGACAAAAAAAATTAGTTAATTTGAGACCATTTAAATGATTATTTGTAGAAAATGAAAAAAACTAAAATTTCTGATATAACGGGAATGTCATTTTTAACAAAAGTGGAATCCGGTCTTTGGCAGTTGTTCGTAAGTCTCAGTACGAAGGTCATTGACATTTATTGTGAAGCCTCTTTTAAAGGACTCAGGGTGTGTGTGGCTGTTAATAGGCTAAACCCTCCCTGTGTTAACCTCAGCTGGAAGGCTATTCCATGCATCCACTACCCTCTCAGTAAAGTAATACTTCCTGATATTATTTTTAAACCTTTGTCCCTCTAATTTAAGACTGTGTCCTCTTGTTGTGGTAGTTTTTCTTCTTTTAAATATAGTCTCCTCCTTTACTGTGTTGATTCCCTTTATATATTTAAATGTTTCTATCATATCCCCCGTCTCGTCTTTCCTCCAAGCTATACAATTTAAGTTCCTTTAACCTTTCCTGATAAGTTTTATCCTGCAATCTTCAGAACTACCACATCCCATGGCTTGCAAAATGAACAAAATAGAAAAATAAAATATCAAAGTTTTGTGTGTGGTTGTTTTAAACAAAAGTTTTACGAACTGCTTAGCTGACCATATTTTCTATAGCATACAGTGAAAAAACGATATTAAGGTAATCTATAAAATGAGGCTGATAAAGTAGGAATTTTAAAAGTTTGCAACATGGACAACTAAAGTCTAATTACACAATCAAAAGTTACACAATTAAAAGAAAAAAACAAAACAAGGCAGAGAAGGATTAACTTAGACAATCAAGTTCAAGTAACAGTTTCATGGGTAAACTGCGCCATCTACTGGGAATTTAGGTGTAGGACAAAACAAAAATCACCTGGACCCATGTTAGTCTTCTGATTCCAAGGAATTTCTTGAAGTAATTGTTCAAACATCCAGCCTGCTTCTTTGGGCTCAATAAACAAAGGGACCAGTCTAAGCCTAGGAGAAAACAACATGGTTCATTAGTCTGTATACAAGAGAGGCAAGTTAAACACACGCTTAAATGGACATTTCAAGTCCCATAAACACTGCAGTTTATTGCAGTGGTTATGGTGCAAGAACTCTGTGTGTGCAGTTTTCAAGAACACACACACACGCACACGCACAGAGAGAGAGAGCCATGTACAATAAAAGTTCTATTTCCCTGGTAGGATTCTCTTAATGCATGGGGCACCCACATTTACAATTCATATGCTGTATTTCTAAAACAGCTGGGGATCTAAGTTTGGCCATCCCACCATAATGTACCATCTGTAGGTGGTGATGTAACTGATGGTGTGTTCGTAACAAAGACACAGATGCTGCTGAATAGTTCTAATTTCATTTGGGGCACTACAGTCTTTCTCACATAATGTCCAAGCAGATTACACAATTTACCGAGCCCATGACAAGTGCATCACCCTGCATATATGTGGATCATCAACATGCCACAATAAGCTGGCTGGACATACTTGTAAATGGCCACATGCACAATCTACAGTATATTGTTCAATATCATAAATCTGAGCACGGAACAGTGACCGCCATGCCTCCTGCAACTGACCACCATGTTTAATGTGCGAAAGCAGTGATGGCTTGGTTACACTTGTTCCCATAGTGGCATGGACAAACGTCTCAAGAGTTGGCTTGGATCACAGCACGTTGTTTTACCTGGAAACCCCAGCAGAGGATATGCTGATCTCATGGACGCCGGCCACACTGAGAAGAAAGGACAATACAGATCAGCACAATGGGTAAGTTGGGATTTATTAGATGCAGGTATGCACTGACTATCGTCAATGTTATTACTATTTACAGTCTTGAAGCTGAGATTAGCAATGCAAGTTTGAAAAGAGGACAAAAGAAGGGCGAAGTTGTCTTGGGAAACCAATGTTATTGTCAGTATTTTGGCCTGGATCTTGAAGGGTGCAAGAATGAAATGAAACTGTTGATAAGGATTGCAGTAACTGAGGTGGGAAACAATAATTTCGTGAATTAGTGAGCTAATACAAACAATGTTTCTGGATAGGAAATCTGGGTTTGTTGAGAGTGTGATTGTTGGGAGAAAGGGTGAAGTTACTCTCCAGAAGAACACCAAAGCAGCAAGCTGGGAGTTATGTACAATGGGGGTTCCATTAATCTGCAAGGAGCGTTACAGTATTGGGGACATTTTCAAAAGAAAAAATAAAAGGAGCTCAGTTTTTGAAAGTCTGAGTTTTAGGAAACGGGTAGTCATCTAGCTAGAGGCAGAACAGATAGTTAGTGACACGTCACAGGAGAGGTAGATCTGGGTGTCACCAGCTTATAGATGGCATCGAAAAGTGAGGCCACATGGTCATGGCTTTAACCTCTTAAGGACACATGGCATGTGTGACATGTCATGATTCCCTTTTATTCCAGAAGTTTGGTCCTTAAGGGGTTAAAGAGAAATTGCAGATAATATGCAAATGAGTAACTATGCCAGTGACAATGAAAATGTGACAAGGAACAGAGATGGGAAGTGGACTGGATGTTTACTCTAAACACAACTAGAGTAAGGAGGTCAATGGTAGGCAGGCTGACATTATTAAAATGAAATAAAAAAGTAATCAAAACTGCCATAATAACGTACAGGATGTGCCATTTTTTGATACTGTATGGTATAATGTAACATTTAGTTTGGTTCTCTTTCATTCAACTTACTCAATGACTCGTGGTTCTGGAGCCCTGCGATAAGCCTGAAAAAAATAACAGTTAGTGAGATGATGCTGGACGAGGCAGAATGTTGTTCTGGCTGGAAATGTTCACATTGAGCCGTTACCTCCGTGGGTTCTTTATACAGAAAGTTCCTCCCAGGGTTCTCAGGCCTATTCGTCTTCGGTTGGGGTTTTATTACAGGATCCACAGCTTGAAAAGCAAAAACATGAAATTCACATTGGATTAAAGCTTATTAGTGGCTCCCCATATCATTAAGAATGTTCTATTTCCGTAACCCTGACACACAGCGCCCTCCGGAACCCTATCCTTTTTAATAAAGGGACACTTCGCTTTCTTTTTGCAGAAGTGATTTATGTGTGAAGAGTGTGTCTTCTTTTTTTCCTTTTACAATAAGTGCAGATTTTAATAGAATTTGTCACTTTTCTAAATGAACTTTGTTACACCCCCTGGTTGTTTGGCTCAGTGGAGCTAAACTCAAGAGGCAGACAATTGCCCAGAGCACCTGCCTTGCAAACACTTCTTATTGAGCTGCACTGAGAAGTCTGTGATTGGACAGCTACAGAAAGTCTGGGCTGGGGTAGAAGGGCAGGGCTTGCAAAGCCAACAGTCAAGAGATCTGTAGTGTTTTCAAGTTGGTTTTAGATATACCCTGAAGAAAACAAATCCCCAATTAAATGCATACATGTTTTCATTGGGGCTAAATCTACTGAACAGTGATTCTTTTTTTATTTGGGCAGTAGAGCCCCCCTACATTGCGCTACTCTTTTCTAAAAAGCTCCTCATATATCCCTTTAAAAGATCCCTCTCTCACTGTAAAGAGTAGTTACACAGTGCCCAACATCTCTGAAGTCAGTTCTGTATGAACTACAACTTTATCCATTTGAAGAAGATGGAAGTAATTCTAGCAATGCTCTTAATGAAGGCCAGCTTTCTATCTGACTTTTGGACTGTTTGAATGCGCGCGCGGCACTTGCCGCGCATGCGCATTCGGCTCCATTTGGGAGCTGACGTCGGCGGGGGAGGAGAGGTCACCAGTGCCGAGGGAGCCTGGCGCTGGATAAAGGTAAGCTGCTGAAGGGGTTTTAACCCCTTCAGCGCCACGTGAGGGGGACCCTGAGGGTGCGGGCATGCACAGGGCACTATAGTGTGAGGAAAATCGCTTTGTTTTCCTGACACTATAGTGATCCTTTAAAGGAATTACAACAAACTTTTGGCAGCAGGAATATTTAAAGGTACCCAGGACGGACATTCTAACAAGCAAAGAGCTTTTCAGGGATTATGGTAAGTGTTTACATTAGTGAACAATGTATTATGTCTAAGGAATACAATCACTGTCCTTAGACAGACAATATAAATAAAAGAATATATTGGTTATCTAATTCTTGTGTTTTGTAACACGCTGCCATCTAGCGTTTATTTTTATCTAATTTACTTGCAACAGAGTTTTATTTGGAATGCACATCTGATGCGAATATAGCAATGTAGTTTTGCTATAACTTATTATTATATATGAAGTGCCAACAAATTCCTCAGTGTTGTACAACAGGTGGACTAATCAGTATTTGCAACAAGACGAGTTGGAGGCACAGGAATAAACGTGCTAAGGGCCCTGCTCACACATGCTTACATTCTAGAATTGCCTGTTTGTACAGAATCACCAGTTAAAATGTTTATGGTTAAGAAATGTAAGAAATATACTGTCCATTGCAGATTCTGTTCTGTTGTGACTCAGACACTGGTGTATGTAATAAACTGTTATGGTAACAATTGGCTGACTCAAAACAGGATTTTAGAGCTTTTTTTATTCTAAAATTTTTATCATAATATTGTTAAGCAAAGAGATTCATCTCTTTCCTAAAATATGTAGCACATTCATGCTTGAGACACATTTGTATATCACAAGGCAAATGCATGTTAAACAGAGTTTCCACACATATAAACCACTTCAGCTTGCTGTGTGTCAAGTATCTCTTCTTAATTCTATTTTATAAAAGAGCTGATTTCAATTGAAAATTTGCATTTTTATTACTAATTTCAGAAACGCCTCCCTGGCTGCCAATCATATAGCTGGGAGGTATTCTTCCCGATTCTATTGGCTCTATGGAGTTAACTGATGTGGCAAGCACAGTCTGCTTCAGCGCTCCTGCCTTCTACACCAAGTGTGCCAGACTGAAAGTCTGTGCTTGGTAAAAAGGAGAGAGACAGCACATCTGCAGCTTTTCCAAGCTGGTTTCAGATATATCCCCAAAGTATGCAAGTTTGCAGTTAGAGTTATATCTACTATATAGTTTAAAAAAAAAAAAAAAAAAAAGATTTTCCAGTTGGAGTTCATTTAAGGGATCTCACCTGGCCGAGAGACTGCCCTGGTGGTTCCAGCCCATGCTCCCTGTACCCGAGCTCTCCGTCTCTTGTCTTCCATGCTGTTAAACTCTGTTGATTTTCATATCTGGAACACTACTACAAAAATAGCAAAGATCAGCAAAATTGGTATTAGCAAACTGCAACATTTTGCTTTTCCCTATCCTCAGAGAAAACAAAATTTTCTTTATAATTTTATTTTAAAGGAATTGCTATTGCATACAGCTTTTCTTTCTGTAGAGATTCAGTTTCATTCCAAAGCCCATGTGTTTAAAATCTTAAGGACCTATGGCTCCTATAGACCTGGTTCAAGCACTGAAATTTAGCCACTAATTTAGTATTCCCAAAGGAACGGGACATTTCTATTTGATAAAGCATCTTTAACCCCTTAAGGACCAAACTTCTGGAATAAAAGGGAATCATGACATGTCACACATGTCATGTGTCTTTAAGGGGTTAAAGAACAAATTGTTACAATGAAATTACACAGTTATTGGTGGGGGCAGAGTTGTGTTTTTTCAATATCACACAGTATAGCAACTAGGGATAGACCAATTATTGGTTCGATATTCCAGATTTTGGCAAATATCGCTATCGGCCACTATTGATACCGATATTGCCAATAATGTGAGAGGCAGTGGTGGCCAGCACATGCAGGGCCGGCGCGTCCATAAGACCGGCAGGAAGGAAGCGCTCCGCTCTGCCAAGGCACACCAGGGAGGAGAAAGGACCACTAAGAGTGGAGGGGGCGGGGGAGGGAGGAAGCGGGACACTAAAGGACAGGGTAAGAGTGAAACACTAAGGGGTGGGGGGAGAGAGAGGGGAGAGGACCACTAAGGGAGAGGGAAGGAAGGGGAGGGGAGAGGTGAGGTACATTAATGGACAGTGAGGTGAGGGGAAAGGAACACTAAGGGACAGGAAAGGGAGAGGTACACTACTGGACAGGGAGGGGAGGTGAGGGGAAAAGAACACTAAGGGACAGGGAAGGGAGAGGAGTGGTACACTAAGGGACGGGGAGGGAGAGGAGTGGTACACTAAGGGACGGGGAGGGAGAGGAGTGGTACACTAAGGGACGGGGAGGGGAGAGGTAAACTAAGGGACACTACTGGACAGGGAGGGGAGGGGAAAAGAACACTAATGGACAGGGAAGGGAGAGGAGTGGTACACTAAGGGACGGGGAGGGGAGAGGTAAACTAAGGGACAGGGACAGGGAAGGGAGGAGAGAGGTACACTAACGGACAGGGAGGGGAGAGGAACACTAAATATTCTTGAAAACATAAAAAGAAATCTGACTGGCATGTATATTTTGTGTATTTACCACTTTATAAAAAAAAAAAAAAAATTTGCTAAAAATAATATTAATCATGTTCAGTAAACAATAGATTTGTGTAGAAATTGTTTCTTTTTTCAAAACGGATGTATAGAATATCGGTGTCGGTAAGTTATCGGCTAGTGGCCTAAAAGTTCAGTATTGGCTCTAAAACAAAATCAATATCGGTCGATCCCTAATAGCAATCCAGATTAATTTCATATGCAGGTTCTGAATTCTCGCAGATGATTTCCTAAAAATTGCCAGAGCTAGAACACATATCACAACGCGTAATCAGTAAATTTCACATAACTAAATAACAATGCAACACTACTTTATACTACTCTGCAGTTAAAGGACCATTATATATATTGTTTGAATCCGCATCGGAAATTAATCCCCACTCCCTCCCCCCCCAAAAAACCCTTTTCAAATTATTAAATACATACTCCAGGCACCCTGACCACTTATGCCCATTGGAGTGGTCTGGATGCCAACTCCCACTACCCTTAACCCTGCAAGTGTAATTATTGCTGTTTTCATAAACTGCAATATTTACATTGAAGGGTTAAGTCCTCCTCTTGTGGCTGTCTATCAAAAGTGTTTCAAGCGACGCTGGACGTCCTCTTGCTATGTGAGGACCTTCAGCGTTGCCGAAATCCCCATAGGAAAACATTGAATAATACTTTCCTACGCGGAGGTCTAATGCGCGTGCGCGGCTTTTGCCGTGCATGCGCATTAGGTCTCCCCCGCTGGCGCTGGACTCCGGTAAGTTACTGTAGGGGTTTTAACCCCTTCAGCAACTTGGGCTGGGGGTGGGAGGAAGAGGGACACTCCAAGGTCCTGCAGTGCCAGGAAAACTGATATGTTTTCCTGGCACTGGAGAATCCCTTTATTCTACAGAATTCATCATTAAAGTGTATGATGATTTTTTTTTCTATCAGATTGGAGTATTTTTTTGATGCTGTTTCAAACAAATTAAAATCAAGGTCAATGTCTGTTCACACACAAATAATTATAGAGTGAAACTGTCAAGAGTTCAAAGTGAAGTTCAAATTTTAGGTTAGAAAATCCCTGAAACATAGCTCATTTTTAATTTACGGAATTTCTCACAATTCTCACTTTGGTTAATAAAATCTGGCATTCTAAGTATTTCTGGTTGGTTTCCCAGATGCACTTTTTTATATTGGACATAAGTTAATAAAAATGTACTGTTTAGTAAAAGGCAATATTATATTGCCAAAGGAAAACAGATGAATTTGAAGATATTGATAATTGATCCGAAACATTCTGTTTTGATTAATCTCCATATTGCTGCAGAATAATACAGGGCAAAACTTTACATGTGCATACCAACATCTTTGAATTGTGTACAGGAAAACATGCTGGATTCAGCAACGCTAAAAAGGATATTGCCCCACTGATGAAAAATGGATGAAAAAGTATTGAACTGAAAATTACAGTGAACTGATATCCAAAAGGCATTGGTTGGGCTGAACCAGGAAAGTTGTGACTACCATTCTCGCTGCGGCAGGCTCCGTGGCTGAGATCATCAATTTTGATGATCTCAGCCAATCCAATGCTTTCCCATAGGAATGTGAAGTTCAAATTTGAAATAAAAAAAAATTAAAAAAAACAACTATTGTGAATAAATCAAAGCATCTCACCGGGGAATGTTCATTTCCTCCATGTAGAGCATGAAGCAGCATTGACACACGAAGCACCTCTAGTGGCCATCTGCGTGAATCCCACTAGATATGTAATTAGCCAGCAATGTAAAAATTGCCATTTCTCGGGAAAGCCAGTGTTTATAGTGCAGGGACAGTCTGTAGACATCCGAACAACTATATTAAGCTGTAGTATTTATGGTGACTAACTATAGTGTCCTTTAAACTGTGAAAGATCACATTTTAGTGAATAAGCCCTAGCGTAGTGATTTAAAGTGTCACATGCCTAGAACAATTCACTAATTTCAGTTTTAAGATGCTGCACAGCCTCTTTTATTAGCACATTATCACAGTCATGTCTGCTCCCCAAGAGGTTCTGCAGTAAGTGGTGTGTGATACAGACAGCTAGCTCACTCTGCCAGTTACTAATTGGTTCCATAAAAGCTAAATTAACATTTTAGAATTTTCAGATAATTATTGCCCCACATGCAGGGGTGTCACCCTACACCCACAGTAACATGATCCTGGCAGCCACACACAGACCATGCTCCCACCTGTTAAACTTGCATCATGTGACCTCTTCCTGTGTTACAAAAATAAATGTCCCACAGAGCTCTGCAGGAAAGGTTCCACTTACTGCCTCCAATTATTAAAATGTATTTTCAGTGGTTTAAAACGAAGAAAAATATTTTAACAAACACTGTGTTCATTTGTTTAGGCTATTTACTGAATCAGAGTTGTGTGTGGGGATTTTTTACTGTGACATTAGTCAGTGTTTCACCCTTTAACTGCTTGATTGTTCCATCAATCTGACTGCCATTCTGGAATTAAGAAAGAATTTAGAATTTTTGTTATCTAGTTTGTTGCAAAATTGGAAGTGTTTCAAACTGTTTTTTTTATTTTTTTTATTTATTTTTTTTGCTTACACATTGTAGTTGCTAAAATGAGAATTCAAAGTGAGTTTCAAATTTAACATCAAAATAGCCGAACTGCTATGTTTCCAGTATAACTGCTAAGGTCTATTGTTTCACATAAATTAACTTTCAAACTTTGCTAACAAATCCTATGAGTTAAAATCTGAATTGCAAAAGTTCGGAGATTTTATATCTTTTGCAATATAATGCATCTTGGATGTCAAAACCCAAAGGCAGAGCACAGAATATTTGATAGAGTCCAAACCTCAACATCTGAGGAAAGGGATTTAGGGGTGATTATTTGAGATAAATTAAAGGGACACTCCAGGCACCCAGACCACTTCTGCCCATTGGAGTGGTCTGGGTGCCAACTCCCACTACCCTTAACACTGCAAGTGTAAGTATTGCAATTTTCATAAACTGCAATATTTAACTTGCAGGGTTAACTCCTCCTCTAGTGGCTGTCTAATAGACAGCCACTAGAGGGCACTTCCGTGTTCATAGAACCCGAAAAGTGTGTTATAACGTCGCTGGACGTCCTCACACTATGTGAGGATCTCCAGTGTCGCTGAAATCCCCATAGGAAAGCATTGAAAGCATTATTCAATGCTTTCCTATGGGGAGGTCTAATGCGCGTGTGCCGAGGGACATCGGCACTGGACACAGGTAAGTCACTGAAGGGGTTTTAACCCCTTCAGCAACATGGGATGAGGGGTGGGAGGGAGAGGGGACCTGCAGTGCCAGTAAAACGGTTTGTTTTCCTGCCACTGGAGAGTCCCTTTAAAGCAAGCATGTCTAACTCAAACTCTGGATCGGGCCACATAAACAAGGTTTAAATTTATGTGGGCCGAAAAAAAAAAAAAAATGGCGAAAATTTTCATAGAAACATAGGTTTATTTAAAAAAATTACTGTATAAAAAAAACAGCATCCCCATCTACTAAACCACAGCACCCCCCTCTACCACCCTGTGCCAAATCTGATCCTCCCGCTGACACACACACATATTCACTGACAGACACACACACACACTCATTGACAGCCATACACACATACTCAGACAGACAGACAGACAGACACACACACACAGACATACTCACTGACAGAAACACACACACACACACATACTCACTGGCAGACAGACACACAGTGACACAGACAGACACACTTACACACACATACTTTTTTTTTATTGCTCCTTACCCTATGGAGCCGATGTGGGTCATCTCCCTGGGATCCTTCCTGCTCCTCACTGCTCCTTCGCACGGTTTAGTGATGCCGGGTGCCGGAATATGACGGCAGTGTAAGTGTTAGCAGAGTAGGCACCTGCAATATGGGGAAAGCAGGTGCCTACTCTGCTTTCACACTAGCATGTACTCACGGCTCGCTGGGCTGCAAAGATGGTCCTTGTGGGCTGCATTCGGCCCGCGAGTTTGACATGCTTGCTTTAAAGGTAGGCAAGCAATGTAATAGAGCATCAAGAAATGCAAGCAGAATGCTTGGTTGTATAGGGAGAGGTATTAGCAGTAGAAAGAGGGAAGTGCTCATGCCATTGTACAGAACACTGGTAAGACCTCACTTGGAATATTGTACGCAGTACTGGAGACCGTATCTCCAGAAGGATATTGATACTCTAGAAAGAGTTCAGAGAAGGGCTACTACACTGGTTCATGGATTGCAGGATTACATTTACCAGGAAAGGTTAAAGGGACACTGTGAAGGACTTTTATGCAATTGCCTATATGCTTCAGTTTTAATTCTCTCCCTGCTATTTTAATGTCTATATTGTTCGGTTCCAAATGTTGAGAATGAATGTATTCGTGTACCGAACGGGGACCACACACCCTGTGTAGCAAGTAGCAATTAGAACACAGAGAAAACCGCAACTTAATTGCTACTAGGTGGCCGCCATTCGACATACGAACATGTGGCGAGAACAAAGGATGGCGGCCATCTTAAAACTCACGAATGCGGTCAGCGGGGCTTACGCATGAATTGCATGGAACTATTTTCGGTACGGGAAACATGCGAACGCCCGGTCCCTCATGGAAGTCCTGGATGAATACGTTCCCCTGCACGAATCAAACTGGCGTTCGGTAGATGGTATCTACCGAATGAGGGGAACATTCACAGGTAACCAGCTGAACCATACGAACGGTAGTTTTCGTGTTATTAGATGCGAATGTAGACCGGCTCTTGCTACTGATTCTATGGAACTGTAACTCGGATACCTCCACATGGCAAGCCGGTCAAAGTTCCACACGATGCGACACGGAAACTACCCAACGGAAATTCGTGAGATTTGGATATGTGACTACCAGTATCCTCAGCCATCCAGGGATGTTAAAAGTATAATTGTATGTCTTATAGAAAGTATGTTTCTGAAATTGTTATAAATTGTAATGTTTCTGGCCAGCAGATAATTGAGCTTTGTGTATTGTAGAAACTCAATTATCTAGCCTGGCCCAGAGGAGGAGTTTTGTGTTGCTTAAATTGTGAGTTCTGTGTGCCAGTAAATCAGTCTTGTTCCAGCATTAAGCCTTGGCTCATGTTTGGGGGATTGGAGAAATACACTCTGGGGATTGCTATAATCACTATACTCCCCAGGGTATGATCACTAAGTTCTGCTAAGAGCTTGTTCCTGTTCCTGCTCTCTGGGGAAAGAGAGGTTCACCCACTGGAAGCTGGATCCTGGCCTTGGGTCCATGGTGGGTGGAGACAGCAGAGACCCCGGCGCAGTTGAATCGCTGGAAGTGGGGTCTGCAGTGCTGATGGTGTCGGTTGGAGTTCTTGGAGTCCTCAGCGAGCACTAGGAGCATCGATTGGCGGAGGTACTTAGTCGGAGTGCCAGCGGTCCGTCACAGACACTATACTCACCAGAACAACTACAGCTTAATGTAGTTGTTCTGGTGAGTAAATTTAATCATTGCCTTCAGGCATTTTTATACAAACACTGCCTTTTCAGAGAAAAAGCAGTGTTTACATTGCCTTAGGGACACCTCCAAGTTGCCACTCCTCAGATGGCCACTAGAGGTACTTCCTGGGGCAGTACTGCACAGTAGGCAACACTGCCGTTCAGCGTCTCCACGCTCTGCAGGGAGTCTCTGAATTTTCCTCATAGAGATGATTGATTTAATGCATCTCTATGAGGAGGTGCTAATTGGCCAAAACGGCAATGGATTGTCTAAAAATCGGCAATTCTGATGTCACCAAGGGGGCAGAGCTAGCGCCGGCGGACTCGTGCGGTGCTGGAATTTAGGTGTTTTAATTCCTTTTAAGGGGGTTAAGTGTGGGGCAAGCCACCTAAATGGTGGGTTAAACACTACATGTTTGTTTTCCTGACCCTATAGTGTTCCTAGGATCTTAACATGTATAGCTTGTGTTCTGTATCAGTATGTACTGTGTGTTCTATTAGACCTGCTTTTGAAGTCATGTCAGATGTACATGGTTTCTGGGGATAAAAGGGAATGATTAATAAACGGTTTCTGTTGCAGTGTGGAAAACAGTGTTTTCTATCAACATCGGATATGTAACACCTGGTAAAGAGGATTGTGGGACTTCTCCAGAGATATGTTTGGTGACTATCTGTTCAGTTGGTATGCCTGTTCATGATTTTAAGCAGTAACATTTTGATTTTTGTTCCTGCAAAATATATACAAGGGGGAATTGTTACTGTTGTACTTGCTGTAAAAGTTTTCGGTGTCACTTTTCTCCCTGTTGTAAAATTTCTGTAATTGGTTTTATAGTTATTTGATATACTTTTTGTAGCATTTGCAGAAGACCTGTAAGGACTGGTAGTACTTGATAGTTCCAGATTTTCAGAAACACACATCACCGTCATACGTTGTGAATGAAAAGTGCCCGATTCCCAGTAAGACAACGTGGTTGAATTAGATTAGATATTTCAATATAAAATTATCAGGCTGCATTTGACGAAATAAAGGGCTATAGATTGCCATCTACAAGTTTAAGTTGGTGTCTTCAAATACACATTTATTATAATTGTCGAAAGACATGGTCAAACTTTGCACAGATTCTATGGTGGCTTTTTTTTTTTTTTTTTTTCAAATATATCACTGAGTCCCTAGGGCAGCGGTAGACAACAATTTGCTCTCCAGATGTTGTTGACCACGTCTCCCATACTGCTCAGACAGCCATAATTCTGGCAAAGCATCAGGGGAGATGCAGTCCACATCTGGAGCGCCAAAGGTGCCTACCCCTACTCTAGGGCACATAAAACCACAATACCTAGCTTTAGTAGATATGTTAAGTGTGCCCCATAAAAAGGAGAACCTAGGCACCATGATCGCCTGCTGTAGTGGTTATTGTATCAGGAGACCCTTTGCCCATCCCACTGTAAGCATTCAAACCATTTTCCAATGGATTGACTTATGTGGGTCCCCTTTGCACACCTGTCAGCTTATCACTATCATCCAACGAGCTAAGCCCAACTTACAAATGAGGACACTGGGCACCACTGAAACCATAACCACTAAAACAAGCAGTAGTGATTATGGTGCGTGGAGTGTTTCTTTTAGCAAAAGTTGTTTTGGTGCTCAAGATACACTGTCCATATAGAAAATAAAAATCACAATTTAGTAGCAGTGTCAGTGCTAGGACTATGTTGTGCCCTAGGCAAGATCAGCTACTTGCACCCCCCATACAAA